GAACAAAGTTGCAAATCTCTAGGAAGGACCTCGAGCTCGTGCATCGACAGATCAGAGAATAAGACCACTCTATTTTGTTCTACCCGAACGATTAGACCTGTGTCACCTTCGTACCTTCCGGCAACAACCTGCAAGAAATTGGTAACGTATAATTTGAACCACTCATTTGTAGGAACCGAAGGTTAGTCATTATTATCGGAGCGATCGGTGCTCGCGGACTCCCATGCGTTAACTCCACGTGACGTACGTGTGCGTTGCTTAAACATCGCGACGCTGCTAGAACGATCGGTGGACGTTAGACGCTGGTCGAGGGAAACGGCCAAATTCGAAAGAAGATTCGTAACGTTCAGCCGGCGCACCAACAAAAGGACGCGCTCGCAGAGCACGAGGCAGAACGCGACGAATGTCGACGAGCAATTTACGATTACGCTCACGAATACGATTACGATACGGAATTATAATATAACGAACACAGTTTACGACATCGGCGCGCGATTACGAGAATTATTGTAATTACTGTCCTTTTGTATTGTATTTTGCGTACGTCATTGCTTAATAATAAATATAATAGTTTTTTTTTTAGTCTTTACACATTGATTATTTTCGTACGTACTTTCACGTGATCTCCCATGGTGAAGTACTTTCGCAATTCTGACGCTTGAAATTCTAATGCTTCCTTCAGTTCTTCGTGTTTGGGCATGACCATTATCATGTTTCCGTCTATCGAAACGATTTTTCCTTGCAAGTTGATCAATTCACCCTCGCACACTTCGACATTGTCACCAGTACTGAAGGAATGTGTCACAGCAGTATCCTCTTTGTTTCCAGACACTGGACCTCCGCTTAAATCTATTTCAACACCTTCGGGAGCTTCTTCAAATCTTTCCAATTCGGAGAGAGTTGGTTTTATACCTTCCGCGATGATGGCACTTGTTGTAAAATTTTTATACAGGAATCTGTAACAAAATACATATTATGTTTCCAATATATGTAGTATGTATTCTATCATGCCAAAGAAATAGTTAATATAAGACATACCCCTTTCTGCTGTATCTGTTTCCCTCAAATATCAAGAAATCACCGTCACTAGTAACTTCTCCACCAATTGCTCGAATAGCTTCAGGATCAAACGGCTTTGCTGTTGGTCTTCTTTTCTTTTTCCGTTTCAGAGCTTCAGATTCACTTTGTGCTGTTCTCAAAGCCCCGCGTGGCCTTGTATAGTCGATTCTAGGTAACAGCTTCAAGTGAACCTGATTCTGTGCCAAATCAACGTAATCAACTTGAGCTATATCGTCTTTGTAAATGCCCCTCTTCAATCTAACCCA